ACTTTAACTTTTTAAACTTAAAAGACCATAAGAAGCTTAAAGCATCTTAAAATTCAAAATAAAATTACCCCAACGTCCACAAAGGTTTTTTTATCATTCGTCCCAATTTGCACATTTCAAAAAAAATCTATTTAATGTAATTTAAAGTCAAGAAAGCTTTATCATATAATGCATAAAAGTAAAGAGACATTCAAAGGGAGCCACAATGAATATAAAGGAAAAAGACAAGCTATGATGGAAGTATACACAATTTCCATACATATGTACTTTGTTCCCATTATTTTCCTCAACAATCTTGTATTCAATTTGAATAAATTATGCCCCGACTTGTCATGCATGAGTTCCGAATTTCCTTAAATTTTTTTGCTTGAAAAATTTTCCTCTTTTTTGCAATCTTTATCCTTAAGAAATTTTCCTATAGAGTCAGAAAAATAAATGTTCAAAGTCACTTAAAGATCCAACAAACCAAGAAAAAAAAGGAGGCCGAGTTGATCTTAGTTTTTTTTTTTTCATCTTCTCGGTCTTGTCATAAAGTGAAAGTTTCTAAGAACAAAATGAAATGTTAATGTACGAGAATTGAATAGATGAGAAGAGCATACTTGAAATGCCATTATGGAAAATCATAACAGCACTAAGAGAGAGAGAGAGTTGTCTTGTGCATTATCATTTTATTATGCTACAGAAAACATTTAATATTCTTTTTTTGTCTTGTTCTTCTTTTTTTGTTCTTGAAATGTAATGGAATTTAATTTGCTGTATTTTCTTCTCGGAGGCGGATCCAGAAGATGGAAAATTTGTGTACAGCTGATGATGATAGGACACAAAAAGAGCTGATTAAAGGTTGATAGAGTTGGGTATTTTGTGATAAGGCTATGTGAAGAATTTAGTGAAGAATCGTACAATAAAATTAATGAAATTTCATGGAAGAGAGTGCGGATCCCAAGAACTAAAGCTAGAATTTAAAAAAATCAGTTATGCTACCCACCTAAACCTGTAACATACGCAAATCATTTTATCTCATTTAAGATGCCTCACTTGATGACCTAAGGCTATCAATCTCTTCAAATTTCATAAATATAGATGAGAAAGCATTAGCAAAATGAGCTTCCTGTTCATTAAAGCGACACGAGCTCATTAATTAATTTCAAAGCAGTTCCGTAATTAATAAAATTCGTCGAAATAGAATCGGAAAATAATAAATATTTCAATAACAATTCCGATCACATTTCATCGCCATAAGCAATCAATTCAGCTTCAATCAATGGAATAAACCATTCTTTGAATGACTAGATATAAAAAAATAGCTCATCACGAGCAAAAGCTTTACTATTGAACAACATAAAAAAGTGAAATGAATTTCATATTAAGTCGAGTCTGAAGATTACGGAAAATGACATATAATGTAATCGTTGGCAATAGAAAGAAGATATATCTGAAACCATAAAGTAAATGTCAGCGAATCAATTATCATAACTCATAAATCTTTATGCTTTCCTTTTTATACAGCATCATAATTCGCCTCTTTATAGGCCTCTTCCATTCATTCAATTCATACATTCATAATATTAACTTCAATCGCGCATATAATTTTTTTAATATCATTTTTTGTCCCCATGAACTAGAGAGGAGCAGTTAAAATGAGAAACAGAAGAGAAATGAGATGAGTAGAGGAAAAAATGGAAATTGAAGTGCTTTTTGGGATGATATGATGAAGCCCGTTGGGGATATTTGTATGAATTCTAAGAGTGGGACTCTTGAATGTCAAAATAATTTTTTTGCATACTTTGAAATTTTAGCAACGCATATTCTTGTGTCCCTACACCACTGAACTTTGTGGTCCATTAAAAAATCTAATTATCTAGCTACGCCCTTATAAGTTCAAAAATTTCAAAAACTTAACATCAAAACTCCCCTCAAGAGATCATGCTTCATAAAACTATCGACAGAAGAAAAATCATCAGCATTTGCATAACAAATGCAATTTCATTATTAGTCGCTGCCATTCATTCCACAGTCTACTGATAAGAGCAGAACCCAATTTATCTATCTTTCATGTATTCATCTCGTTCCACTTACTAGTTTGCGACCACTCCCATTGCATTTAAGAAGCAGAAAAAAAATTGTATAATAAAGAAAAGGAAATGAAATCATGATGATGATGTTGAGGAAAATATAAGGACGTCAAGAGGGAAAAGAGAAAGATGGATGAAAAATATGTGAATAGTAATAAGAAGCGTAAGAGGAGGACTGAAGAAATCTTCTCATTTAAAAAAGTACTATCAAGATGAATTATTAAATGAGACTATCCACAAAATGAGCTTAAAGCTTTTACAGTTTTGTAAATAAAGTTTTATAAAGTAATGAGGTTAGGAAGAACTGCTGTAATTTAATTTCTTTTTTAGCTTTTAGATCAAGAAGTTTAAGAGGATTTTGTGGACTTTCTTATACTTTAGTTTTAAGGAGGATGCTTTAAATCTTTTTTAAAAGTATTGCTAATTGCCATCCAATTAAAGTTTTTAAAAGTAATGTCCTGGGCAAAGTTGTGGACTTGTGTTGTTAATCTACAAAGCATATCAAGAACCATTTCAAGTGGGCTTCCTTTCACCTGAACAACACCAGTCATTATGCATCAATTATTTTGTTCACAATAAAAAATGTTTTAATAAATTTTAATTGTTATTAAATGAACAAAAAGTCTATCCACATTCATCCTGAGCTTCTAAATTAATGAATAAATCTCCAGTAGACGAGTCAATTGTTGTCATGAAGAAGCGACATTACACGTATGACTTACAATATCACTCGATTGTGATATGAGGAAAGAAATCCGTCGCATGGCATTGGTTGTCAACCACCCATCGCACAACAACCGTCAGACAATATTGCTTCACACCCAAACAAAAATGCTTTAATTCACAACATAAAAAGCCCGCATTGTCACAATTTTTGTCATGGAAGAAATAAAAAATTTATTTGACCATAAACAAAGAGTGAAGAGGGAAACCTTTTTTTTTAATAAATAAAAAGAAAAACTTAGGAGAACCGAGGGAGAAGAAAAAGTTTTTTTGTTAAAGCTGCTTAAATAAGTAAGTAGGAGACACACAAAAGGAAAGTGGTCACATTAATCATAAAGGAAAACTTTTTTTGTTTGCTTTGCTTTAAAGAAATTTTTTTTTTCAATGTTTTGTTTTTGAGGATGAAAATAGATGGGCGTGATGGGTTTATTCTGTCTGAAAGATCCTTTTGTGTACAATTTTGTTTTGTGATTTATAAAAAGAACTGTTAAGGAGGTGATGTGAGGTCAGTGGAAGAAAATAGAAAGTTAAGATGGGGAAAATTGATATTTTTGGAGTTTGGTGGACTGGCTGTAAACCAAAACATATCCATATCCAAATGCACATAAAGAATGGCATTTTCTTGCCTATTTGCAAGCAACATTTGATTTTATATCTGTCTTTATGTAGTGTCTATCAAACTGAGCCTTCTCTAGCAGGAGTTTAGTGCAAATCCGTCTCTTACAAAAGGCGCCAAAAGCTTCAAGTTATCCGAAAAAAATAATCACAACTTCTACTTACTTCTGTATGTCACAAACTTTTCCTCTTCTTGCTTTACATTTAGTGTAAAATTTTTAAAAAGAAAAATGTCATCGCATTCTGAACCTTTTTTTTTCATCGTCTGTAGTTTTCATCTTAAGCAGCAACTTTCATTCCTTTTTTCACAGCAAAAATTCTCTTCTTTAAGTTTCTCAGATATCAGACGAGCTTCTCAGGAATGAACAAAAATGTAAAAAAAGAACTTTTTCGTTTCACATCCCTTTCGTTCTTTTTCTATTCATGTGTTTTGCTTCACATTGTGATTTATCTTATCAGTTTTCATGTTCTGTTTTGCTAGTTCTTTTCTATTTTTTTTTTATTTGTTCGATTTTTTGTTACTTATGTTATGTACAAGATACAAAATAAAGAATAAGAGAAACGTGCTGGTACAATGGAAATGAAAAAAGGAGATTTTCATTCTTTTTTACTTGACTTATCATTGATTTAAAGATGTATGTACAGAACTTGTTTCTTTTTTTTATTTTTTCTTTTTTTTAAGTTTGACGTTTCATGCCTGAAAATCTTGAATTTTTTCTCTCGCTTTTTGAGCCTCTGTGCATGCATAATCATATCTCTTCAATTTCCAAGCTTCAGTATTAATTTTACACATTTCACGGTCCATGCACCATTCAATTTTTATTATGAATGATTTTTTGTCTATTTTTTTAAATTTCTTTTTGTCTTTATTATTTAATTATTTTATCTTAAAATAACCTACTTATTTACTTATTTATATCATAAATCGCAGTACGATAATAACAAATTAAAAAAGATTCTTTCCGTCCATTTCATTCTTTCATTTCTTTTCTCACTCACATTAAAATGCAATTGAATTCTATCAACAATAAGTTTTTTGTGTGTTTGTGGGTACAAGATTATTACTATGATGAGGAGAAGAGTTTAAGGTGGGTGTGTATTGGCCTAAGTGGATCATTTGAGGTGCAAATAAATTCACATTGAAATTTGCATTTAGGAAGGATTAAAGGTGATATCTACCTGCATTCTTACTTAAGAATCCCAAATTTCTTATTGAAAAATCAAGCATAAGTAAGAATAAGCATAGATATCCCAGAAAATGTCACCTTACAACCCCAATTTATCATTAACAAAATTGAATTTAAATCCTCAACCAATTTTTAAATTTCCCATGCATTTTCATTTCCACTTCCAATTTTCCATGTCACTCAGGCCAAATGTAATGAAAAAAAAAACTTTGACTTAAAGTGAGAAAAAGAACTTTTCTGCCATTTGTCTTCGTTTCTCTTGTTCATTATCGTGTGTAAAAATAAAATTTACAATTTTTATGTCTGTTCATGCATTACAAAAAAAAACTTCTTTTTTCGTGTCTTCCTAAATTCTCACTTTAAACGGTAATTTATGGAAACTTTATTCAAGAAGTGAGGAGAAATTAAAATGGAAGGAAAAAAAGTTGGAAGTGAAATAATAAAAAAAACACTAGTGCCATTTATGCAAATGTAATTGCAAAATTAAAAGGAACGGAAATAGTAAAAGAATTGGTCGAAATGAAGATATCTGATTATGGGATTTATTGCGTGATGTAGAACTTGCAACAAATTCCATTTCCTCAACACGCGGATCTGAAGGATTTCGTTGGGTATAAAATTGGAATATATCACTGACCTAATTTGCATTAAGGAATAGAAAGAAGATAAAAGTTGCATAAATTTTTAATTCATTTGCAGCTACAAAAAAAGAATTTACTTACTTCATTCCATCCATATCGATTCTTAGCTTGCACGATTGCTTCATAAACTGATCCCGACTGGAGACCTCTTAGTGTGAAGGACATAGCATGTGTCAATGGTTCATTTGCTGGACGAGATGATGGTGTCAGAATAACTGTGAAAAATAAATTTTAATTTATGTAGAAGATAGATTGAATATAAAGTCAAAGTTTGAGTACGCTTGGTTTTTATTTTCATTCGTTGTTGTTTCTGCTGCTGCTCTTTATGCTGAACGCTATAAAACTTTTCAGTGGATCTTTTCAATTTTATCTTGATTTTCTGGGGATGCGAATTTGACTAGAGCTTATGAAAGTTCAAAGTCTTGAGACTCAGGCAAGACTAAGCTTCAGGAGTAAGCTTAAAATGAACGATTTTTCTTCTGTATATGATTTGAATCTACTGTGACCTAGCATGAACAAACATTTATAAAAATCTAACATCATTTAAAATTCTTGAACTTCCATCCCTTGAAAAATCCATCAACGATTCCATTTTTCACTCATCTATCCTTCATCTAACTTGAACTTTTCCATACTTTGCTCTTTTCTACTCCCCACAAAAAGTTCACTTGGCTTGCCCTTTCATGATCAAACATAGACATAACTATATGCACATCCACAACACATTCTCCTCGTCCACAACATTTAAAGTTTATCATAAAATAAAAATTCCAAACTTGAATGATAAAACTTCTTCGAAACGAGATTGTTTAAACATCCACACTTTTCACATAAAATGTGTACGGGTGAACCATAAAGTGGACAGCATTATGAATTTTGATGATGAAGATGAAATATAAATTTGAAATTGGATAGCAAGCCAAGTTACCTACATACATGCCGTTCATGTATAAAGAAAAAGTTTTAATAGATTTGAGATGAGAGATGGAAGCTTGGACTGACATATAGAAAAGTAAAATAAATTAGAGCAGCAGCAGCAGTGGAGAAAAAAGGATGTGATATTGTGAGAAAACCTCCATAAAAGTTAATATTTACTTAACAAAAGTAGAAATAGATACATATTTATATTTCGAAATGTGTATGTGAATTGGGTTGAACTTTTGTGTAAGTTTTAGGGTGTCTGGTTGATATTGTGAGATGACCGTAGGGTTGCTTGATGGTCATTTCTGTTGAGCTTTGTAAATTGTTTAATTGATAATTCTAGCGCGTTTTGGCCACATTGATAATTTTCAGCTGATAAATACAAAGTTCAAAAATGATCATCAATAAGTCCATCTAGCGATTACTATCCCTACACACATCAACTCACACATATCAAATAGACACCCTGTTAACAAAAGATAAATATCAAGACGACTTACCATCATGCCAACGTGCTGGTTGTTGAAATGTTTCATTCATCTGTAAGGAAGGAAAAAAAGCAATTTTTCAAAACAAGGACTTTTTATATTCTTTTCTATTTCTCTGTTATCATCATCATTACCATCAGCTTTCTGTATAGTAATCTCACTTCCTGTAGTGGTGGATAGCTGTCAACTTTCCATGTCAGATTATAACTATCCGGTGATTTGCTCCATGGTGCTGAATGGAATTCTGCTGGACCAGGACGACCACTGAGTTCCATGTATTTCTTTGAACGACCCAATGAGTTGTCGGCGACGCAGCTGTTGAGGATTAAAATTGAAAGTATTCAGTTTTTGTGATTTGTGGTGAAAATTTGATTATAAAAACTGCTTGTGCCTTAATTGCAACCTCAGTTCACTTCAATAATTAACAATCTACACTCACCTGTAATTTCCAAAATCCTCTTGCATGACATGACGAATTGTTAATTGATGACGATTACCACGTGATGACATGATACGCCTATCTGTCGGTTGAAGTGGAAATGAGTTCTGGAACCATGAAACCTGTGGACAAATAGTACAATAAAATAAATTACAATGGGACGTTGAGGAAGGATGAGAAATCAGATGCAGTAGCTTGCAATTATCTTTAATTACTGAGCTGGTTGGTTGGACTTACAGTCGTACATTCGTAATTCATACAGCACAGAGAATAATTTACATATATGCATGATAATTTTTTTCGGTTACCATTTCGCTCTACATGTTCTTTCATTTTGTATAGCATTTAAACTTTTTCTGTTGTTGCATGAATAATGCAATGGATAAAAATGAGAAGCCATAAGTGTTATGCAAATTGATAATTTGTTGGATGTAAAATGTGAAATAATAAAGTTTTAAGCAGTCCAACATGATACTTTTAGCATATATAAAGAGTAGTTTTACAGCGAAGTCTCTGACATGGCTCAGTATTCATTATTTAAGGGATGTGGTCATCAATCAATTAATTTTACGCTAGATGATGCACAACTCTTGCTACAATCGACCCTATATGAAGAGTTCTTAAATATTAGACATCATAGGCTAATGTTCCCAAAAAAATATAAAAAATAAAGTCAGTAAAGTCAGTATGTTTGTTTCTTGACCTTCCCAGAAGAGTGAATTTTTTACATCAGGAGAAGTGCCCTGAGATCGACAGCATGATTCAGCAATGAATTTCTTGGAAACCCAGAAAAAGTAAATGCTACATACATTTCAAGAATAAAAGACAGCTTGATACTTGATAATGTTGATAAAAATTCTCGGTAGCTCGCTTTATTTATATTCGCATATTTACAATGGAATTTCAAAGAGTTGATGTTGCTGATCTGAAATTTCATTCAAAATTGTTGCTATGTATTTTATTCAATATCAGTATCGATGTTTTGCGGAGGTGTTTTCTGAGAAAAAAATACCTTACATAACATTCAATATATTTATGAAGAATTTTTTTTGACGTAGTAAGGCAATAAAAGTTGTCAAATGATGCAGGAAGCATGTAAAGAATTCAATAACAATTTTCAACGAATATCAATAAGCATGTGTCGTGGGTTTTCAAATGAATTTTATATTATGAAATATTTTCAATCAATATGAGGTTAAACATTGAAAAGGCTTTTTATTGCTGGAACTTTAATAAAAAAAATATATATTTTAAGCAAGGCTCATGAGGAAGCTATTGGTGTCTTCGAAAGACGAGTATTGAGAGCGATTTATGGACCTGTGAAGGAAGGTGAACAATATCAAAGCCGACACAATGACGAACTATATCAGTTGTTCCAGGATGATAATATCATTACGGTTCTTCATGCAAATTGCTTGAGATAGGCTGAACATGTGTTTAGACGTCCACAAGATGCCTAAGTACTTAGAGTGACTGTTGCAGGCTTTATGGATGGCAAGAGATCTAGTGGAAGATCAATGAATACTTGGATTGGATGTGTTGTTGTGACGCTAGAGTCCTTAATATCCCGCGGGAGAATGTCTCAAAGGATAGAGCTGTCTTTAGACAATCTCTGAACATGGCAATGGGCCCACGTGCTCCCCAGTCAAGGAAGTAAGTAAATAAGTATGACCTCACAGCCAAATATTGAATATTTAAATTGCAGGCTCAATTACTCAACAAACTTTTCTATTATTTTTCAAACATATTACAAAAATAAACTTTATTTTATTTTCCAAAATAGAACTTCAGTCCAATGAACCAAATAAAACACATATCCAATTTATAACCGGAAATTCCTCATTCCCAAACATCCTGAACAAACAAAAGAAGTAAAAATGGTAGAGAGAAACAAAATGCATGAATAAATTACATTTAAAATATGTAGTTAATATTTGCTACACGACAGCATAATTGTAGATTTTTCTTTCATTTCTCACATATTCTCTCACTTCCTCTTTTATAATTTTTGCTACATGTAGACACACCAGTTATGCAGTACAAAAAAAACATATCTTCATGTAGGATGAACGAGAATGCGGAATCCCATAAAGCTTTTTTTTTCTCCCCACTTACAATTCTCACATACAGGGACATGTTGGAATTGTCCAACATATGAAAAAGATTTCTCTTCTTTAATCCTCTTAACTTGAGTGCACTGAATGCTTTGTAATCACTTATAGTGTTTTCTGAGGATTAATTTTAACAGTTTTTGCATGTTTCATATGGTCAAGTTGTAAAGAAATCTCCACAAATGATGACATTTTATTCATTTTTCTTCATGTGCATTGTTTCCGATGGGAAAGAGACAGGATGATTTTTGAAGGATTGTTAAGGACAGATTGTCAGCTTTGTGATTCATTTTTCTTTGATTTATTGTTCTTGGATTGAGGGGGTGATGAAAAATTGATAAAATTTCTTAATGTCCATTGCAAAAATAAATGGAACTAGATTTGTAGATTGTTGAAAGCAGAAACTATGAAGGCAGATTGAACGATTTTAAACAGTTTCTTGGACGACCTAAACTTGATTTGGCGATAGAGAATAACAACATCAACAACATTATTTCAAATGCACTTTAAATCACTAAACATCATTCTTGCATCCTAACTTCTAACCCACAAAACAATTCCATGTCCATTGAAATAAAAGATTAAAATAAGAGATTTAAGATCAAAATGAATTTGCTACCGGTGAGTAAAATTCTGCTTACTCATACATCAGTCCTTAATCCTCCTTTATTCCATTTCTAATTTAGAGCTGTGAAGACCAACTCATTCAGTTTTATTTTCATTTCATTATTTTTTGCAGATTTTCGGATTTTTTTTTTATAATTAAAAAATGTTTTCTTCCATTTTTATATTTTCTCGTTGATGTGTGATTAAGATGGAATTTTTCATTTGAAATAATAGAGTCACGAGAGGATCAAATGAAATGAAATTTGAAGGATTTCAGGTGAGCAAAAAGAGTTTTTTTGAAGCTATTGAAATGTAATTCATCTCTAGATTTTTAAAAGGATTAGTGAAGAGAATTAAAGTTTCATATGGATGTACTTAATTAGAAATTAATTGAGATGTGAGAGGTTTCTCTGTGTTCATATTAAAATGATGAACAATAGATGAATGGAAGGTGAAATGATTGAGGTATTAAGTGAAAAAAGACTTTATATAACAGATAGCATAGCTTAAGCCATAGCTACTATGACATTTGAAAGAATCTCATAAGAATAAGTCAAAGCACAGAGCTCAAATTTTAATTAACTACCAAATTATTCAAATTATTTCAAAAATAATGTGGAAAAAGCTTTTTATATCCCATAAGACACCCCCTAACCTCCCTCTAAATTGCTCATTAAAACAAAAATTATTATGGCCAGCAAATAAAAAATTTACAGAACTTCCAGATCCACCATCCCCCATTCCACTTCAATGAGAAGATTAAATAGATTACGGAAAAAATTCTATAAAATTATTACCATAAGCTTATGAGCTTTTACATTCATCTATCTATTTATAGTGTACTATTATGACCACAGAACCTTAATAATACATGTTTATGTTTCCATCTCCTCCTCCTAAGGCATACACATAATATCTCATCGACATAATTTTATGACTATAAAACCGGAAGAGATAAAATGAATATTTTCTTCCTTATTGCTACCAGAAAAAGGCCTCATAAATTTCAAATGAAAATGGAAATGAATTTTTTTTTTCGGTAATGTAATTAAATGAATATTACTTCTATGTTTGAATAGATGAAGAAAAATGCTAAGGAGTTGGTTTAGATGTGATGCTGGCGCCATGCGAACACAAAAGAATTCGAAAGAATGGATGACAGGCTGAATTGGATGTTAAGTGTTGAGTATGAATTATTTTTGATGATATAAATTCTCGGCACTTTTGTTTCCAGTCAAAAACTCCTATCAACACCCCTGGTTTCTTCCAACAATAATAAATACTACAACTAGTCTGACCTCCCATGACTTTCATTCAAAAAAATTTCTAAAGAATCCCATCAAGACTAAAAAATAAATAACTCAAGGCAAAAGAAATAAAAAGACACACAAGCAATACATCCTCATGTACATAATAACATTTCTTGCCCATTTGCCATCATAAATATCCATAAATGCCGCACTAATGGCTCTCGTTTACACTATTAAGAAAACCAAACAATAGTTTATTAAAGAGCCAAACAATATGGCAATAATAAGAAGAGAAATGAAAATGCCTTAAAAATGCTTTATGTGAAACCCACAGAAATTGAATGCCTTATCTATTCCGCAATTTATTGTCCATTTAGCTAATCCATGTGGTAAAATTATTGTCTATATTGAGGTCCTTTTTTGGGATGGATAGAAGTAAAGATTATTTTTTGGTGGTTGTTTTGGGGTCGTCTAGAAATTACGTCTAATAATGATCAATTTAGTTTTCTATCATCAAAAACTATTCCCTTTAAAAAATTCCTATTTTGCTTCCAACAAACGAACTCAACTCATGCAACCGAATGAACAGGAAACTAACGTGATTAGACAAACATGAAATTCTATTAAAGCGATGTCAAAAACACGCAATAACTTTATTTTATTTTATATTTTCTTTCTGTGCTCGTCAGTCCAACACATTTGCTACGTAATTAAAGTGAAACTTTTTGTATTGTTTTTTCTTCTCTTTTTGCTGGCATATTGGAAACAATAACTTACCGTTGGCTGTGGGTCAGCATGAACAATACACACTAAAGTTGCTTCGAAGCCTTCACCCGAGTGTATCCATGATTTTTCTGTCACAATGTCTGGTGGATCTGAGGAGGAGAAAGAGGAAAATTAATTAGATTTGGAGCTTTTTTTTGGACCCTTTCGGTAGTTTTGGAAGGATTTGTTGACACTTATGTATCCTTGTAAAATTAAACAATCAAAGTTTCATATAAACTACTCGAAAAATCACCCAAAATTTTCCACAAGGACAGTCACGGAAGCTTTAAAAAATTAGGACATGAAAAAATTTCATCCTACATGTTCCACGTCCATTCAACAAATTAATTTTCATTTTGCTTGCCATGACCAACAAAAATTATTTTACAAAAATTGATTTTTGTGGCTCTACTGAATATTTTAACAGCTCGTTGCAGCAAAAACCATCCATTTTTGATGTTATTATTATTCCATTGCATTTTATTGTTAAACAATTTATTTGTTCTCAAATGAATGTATAATGGAGATTGTACTATAAAATCCACATTCATCTCCGACAATGAGTACAAAATTGAAACGATAAACTGCCGAAAAGCCACACAAATGATTGAAAATCAAATGCTAATAGCAAATTCAACGATAATGAACTGAGGCTCTTGTGGCTACCGGTGGCTATTATTGCTATTATCAACGTTGTTATGCATCGACAAATTTTTAAAGGTGTACGGTGAGGTGTATACAGGATTGCAAGGAATGGGAACTTTTATCAAAGATAATTTTAGTTCTTAGCATAAATCAGATACAGCATTGCCTCCAGTGTCGATTACAAATTTTCATAAAAAAAATTTAAGTTCCCACCCCTTTCAAAATCCAAAATCTAGATAATAATTCACAAACTTACACAAAACATCTAGTCTCATATCAACAGTAGCTGCCTCCCCAACACTGTTGTCCGCTGTGCATTGATAAACGCCTGATTGTTGTCTCTCAACACGCTCGAGAGTTAAAATCGGTCCTTCACCGATACGTGAAAGTGATTTTCCTGTTCCACTCTATTATTATTATCATCATTGATTGTCATTGTCGTGGTCGATGTAATTTCATGTGCATAAGTGGATGGAAAAGAGAAATGAAATTTAATTTCATAATGCTACTGATTTGGACTGATTGATAAATGTGGTTCTGTTTGGAAAATTGATTTTATTTGAGTCTAGTCGAATGGACAATTTGAATGGATAGAAATAAGTTTGAGATAAATTGCTTGAATTAATTTTGTAGATTTTTCTGATGTTATCTTGATTCTTGATTTATTTGAGGGTGTGAATGGGTTGACTTGAAGTTTTGTTGATTGGAAGTCATTTAAGTTTGAAGATTTAGCTACAGTTAATATGATATCTATTGTTAAAAAGTATTAAATGCATCAATTTATTTATAAAGCTAGGGAAGAAGGCACTTGACCCATTCTCATAATCAAAATCCTGGGAACATTCAAACTAGGTCAATTGAAAGTCCTTCAATCAAAATTAATTTTCAATTCCATGTAAAGTTTCAACTAATGACTCAATTCAAAATGTAATTACAAATTCCATCCTCAATTGCTTAATTACTTTACTGCTGTTCGTAGCATTTTAAAGCAATTTTCAAAATTTAAGAGTTTTAAAGCTTTAGTAGCATAAAATCGATTAACAATTTCCCAAAAATAAGAAATAAATTATCCACAAAAAAATTACACCAGCATGAAAATTTTATAAAATTATTTTCCATCATCAACCAACATCATCAAAGTGTAATTTAATTTAATGCATCAATTTTTACCTTTTTCATCTGCCATTATTAATTTATATGCACAAAAAAATGTTGTTCCCGAGAGCATCGACGGTGAAAAAATTAAAAAAAAAGAGAGTCCACGAAAATTGTAGAAAATGCGGAAATGAGACAGGAATAAATGAATTAAAATGCAATTTCAATGTGTGTGCTGTGCTGTACATATTGCCAGCTCATAAATCCTTACCCATGAAACTTGTGGAACGGGATTGCCTGATGCTTTACACTCCAGCGTCACAGCACCACCTTTTCGTGCTGTTATCTGACCACTCGATGGAACCGCTCTCACTGATGGTGGAACTGAAAATTGGAATGAGTTATAAAATATTATTTTAATAACAGAAAATTTATATGCTATAATTTAAAGAAGATTACAGGACGTATTATGTTGATAATTCAATTCCAGTCGACATGAAATTTATACCCAAGGCTAGGCAACAACAATCGCCATGGACAAGGATAAAAATTTATTTTTCATTAAACACAATATTACTGATGCATATCAAAATATATTTATGAATAAGCAATATACACACAAATTTAATTTTAAATCTACCATGGCAATAAGCCATAAAGAGTGGAAAGGAATTTTCAGTGCGTGAAATTCCAACGCATTAAATACATAATTGAGCTTTTAAAGTCAGCTTCAGCGTGTGAATGAAGTTATTTTTAGGAATAGAGGGTTGACTTTTAAATGCGATATGTGTTGGCGTTTCCTTTTTTGGGTTTCGATAAAGAAGTTTTGTTACTAAATTCCAAAAATAAATGTTTAAGTTTGAAAAGGTGTGAATTGTTGCCTTGAGGTGCTTTTCTTAGTAGGAAAAGTTTTATTTTTGGGTATGTGAGACCAAATGTATTATTATGTCACAAAGTCTTCTTTAACGTCACAGTTACAAATGAATGAATTAGCAGAGATCGAAGCCGATTTTTTCGGCTTAACTCAACTTTTGATTTTTTTGATAGTAAAAAGCTATTTAACACACATTTCAAGTATTTATATTGGACTTTACATGCTTTACTATGATTTTGTGTAATATTTTGTCAGCATGTAGCTATAGTAAGCTCAGAATTTCAAGTTAAACGATTTTAAGCCGAAATTTAAGCCGATCGGCTTAAAATCGGCTAAATTGAAATTCTGAGCTTACTATAGCTACATGCTGACAAAATATTACACAGAATCATAGTAAAGCATATAAAGTTCAATTTAAATACTTAAAATGGGTGTTAAATGGCTTTTTTCTATCAAAAAAATCAAAAATTGAGTTAAGCCGAAAAAATCGGCTTCGATCTCTGTAAATTAGAATAAAAATATATTTATGGGTGGTTCAATGATTTAAAATGGAAAAATGTATATTGCTTGAGATTTCAGGGTCGAAAATGTCTTAGTCAAATAACAACTCTGTCCAAAACTAATTTCACAACTTATGTATCAGCATTTAAAGCTGCTCCAATTCTCAATTCATAACTTTTCTCTTTTTTATCAATTTTTCACAACAATTTTATTCCCACAAGAATTTTTTCCAATCGAGCAATAACTTTCAAAACAACCCTTTCCATTGTTTATACTCCTTCCTCCCCCATTTTATCACAAATAAAACTTTTATATCCAAACTATAAAATTTTCTTCTTTCATCGAGCTACAAAAAAAAGTTGAAGAAAAGAGCAAGCTAATCTATTCATCTCATTACAAATTTTTTTGTTCACTAGCAGCTGACGATCTATTTTTATTTTTAATTTCATTGGATTTTCCCTCTTACTTACTTCTTTTACTGTTAACTAACCCTCATAGAAACAATCAACACACCGACCAGAGCGAAAAAAAAAGCACAACAAACTTTCCTTCCCATTCTCTCATGTTTCATTTACAGCAAACATTCTTTTTGCTTGATTTTCATTCATTGATAAGGGGCCTTTCACTTATGACGTCCAGGGGGGGGGGGGGGGTCAGCAAGAAAAAAACAACAGAAATTCCAAGAAATCCATTGTTCTTTTTTGAAAAATGACCGTTAATTTCGGACGTCATAAGTGAACGACGCCTAAGTGGAAGGAATGAGAATATAAAAAAACACAAAAATGTAACAGAAAGTTTCACTTTAGTTTTACAAGAAATTTTTCTTTCTTTTTAGCTTCTTTTCACCGCCCCAAGACCGATTTCATTTCACACGACAAAAATATCTGGATGGAATTTCAAGCTCATTTTTTTGTGTGCTGTTTGGTTTGGTTTGTTGTATAAATTATCCGACTGCTTGTAGTCACATGTATAGTTTTTATTGTTTGTGTCGATTTTGGGTGGTTGAATTGATAAGTTGTAAATTTATTGGTGTTGTGTAATGGCTAAGTTTGTTTTTTGATGTGCTTGACTTAGTAATCTTGATAATCCTATGGACATGATTCAAGGGGTTTTTTAACCGAATGTTAAGCCATTGATATAATATACATTCTATAAGACAGAAGCCGTGGTACTGAAAGTAATACTAGCAGACTTTGTGGATGAAAAGAGAGCAAGAGGAAGATCGAAAAAATCTTAGATTAGTTGTGTTGAAAAGGACGCTAGAGTCCTGAATATCCCGAACAGGCAGAAAAGGTTGAAGGATAGAGCTGTCTTTAGTTATTCTCTGAGCGCATCAATAGATAATTAAAAGCCATAGATTAACAGTACAAAGCATTCACAGCGGACCATATCAACTATCCAAAATTCCATGAAACAACCCATGAAAAATCACAGTTCCACACGATGGCCAGCACAACAAACAAGAGTGAAAGGTAGATATGGCTAAGTTCATGAGTAGATGGGGGTCATAATGAGGGAAAGAAATAGATTCCGAGCTTGTGTGAAAGAATAAAAGAAAAGAAATATCAGGGCCAGTTAACGGTTCAATGAACATTGCGTGATTTGTGCTGAATGTTTCAGGGGTGGAGGTGATTTTTATTTTATTTTTCTTATCGCTTTCTCCTCTCGTCTATTATATTTTCATGTTACGACTTTTTTCTACAGTTTTTCGTTATAATACCACGATTACAAATATTTTTAATGTCATTTACGTCCTGTTTTTGTTTACTTTTTTATTTTTCATGATAAACTCACCAAGTATTTCAACAGTATGAACTTGATCCTTGTTGACTTTATCAACTATTTGACATACATAGTCGCCTGTAAATAAATATGGTAATATTTATTTTTCGAGGTCAGTTTTTTGTGGCTTTTTTCAATGTCTTACCTGCATCTTGCGGCTCGAGTTCGGATATTTCTAAATTATAGCCATTCACTAAGTTTATTCGGTCATCTTGTGTCACTTTCATGTCTTTTGCTGATAATACATTTACACCTCGTCGCCAAAGAAGAACGAGTGATCCTGTAGAGGAAATAGAAGAGCATTAGATACAGTTTGTAAATTAGAATCTAATTATTGAGGATATTAAGCATGAGATATAATTTGGAGTCAACATAAGTTAGTCAATAATGCTATAAAATTGTAAAAATAATCAGAACCTTCATAGTCAATTCCGCCAACAATTTTCAAGGTTATATTCTCCTTAAAACACGTTCATGTCTACAATAAAAAAAACCTTCGTAATTCAATCTACATAATAATAACCATTAAATCCATACTCAAAACTAGTTTGCCCAAATTAACTCCGGCATTAAACTGATTAAAAAATTACCTCAGAGCTATAACAGCACAAGAATAAAAACTATTCTCATGACAGCAATAAATATTAATTTTACAGTCCTAAATCACAAGTATCGTTGAAGAAACTAAAATAAATCACGAGTTTAATGAGATAGCCATAAAAATTCTTAGTCTCTATGGCTTTTTTTTTTATTCGTATCCATTTCAAATTCCCTTCTTAAAAGACAATTTTGGAACAATTATCACAATCATGTCCCATAAGACTGCTTTTTTGCTCGGCTTTTGGGTATTTAAATTTGGAAATGTCATTGTGGAGATTTCGGAAGAAATTGTTCTGAATTTTTTTACAGGAGACAATCATAAGTGACGGATAAGAAGAAAATAGTCCATATATAGAATTTTTTAATTTTTTTTATTTTTCACTTTTTCAGCATAAATTTAAAAATTTGACTTAGAGTAGAAACTGAAGTCCCATGCCAATATCTAAACATTTAATCCACTGAACATCATGTTGATCCTTTCATTAGAGCTATCTCCGACTATAATCCTTGAAAAATCGCGGTAGTTATTCAAATACTCAAAAGCCTTGAAAAATTCCAAAGATCTCTTTTTGGTATCGGCTACGATTTCAATCTCTTCAAAGTGCTTCTTCAAGTTTGTCTTGACTTCATCCAGAATACTTCTTCCGCGTTTGACTTCACGGCAGCTCCAATCGATTCCAGAATTAACTTCCAAGTTGACATTCTTTAACTTTTTAAGAACATCAAAGACATTATCAGGCACAAATGAGATTCGATTCTTAAAGAATGAAATAGTCTCAAGATTTTGAGCATGTTCAAAGACATCTGAATCGATTGATGTGATCAGGTTTCCATTCAGCATCAATTTCTCAATCCTTTTACATCCAGTTAAGTCAGCTTTTGATAAAGTTTTCAATCCACACGATATGACTGAGATCGACTTTAAGTTTGGATAGTAATTGTATAAATGACGTGGAAAGTTTTCAATTTGCTGATCAACAATGATCAATGTGTTGACGTCAATGTTGGATCTGCCTTCTAGATGAGTTCCTTGGATGCTCATGACGCGTCCCGTTGATGCGATTCGATTGAATGCTGTGACTCGGCAGATATAAGATATTTCGTCAGATGAAGCTGATGAGTAGTTGTAATATTCACAGAAAAGTTCCATATTTTTGATTATTTGTTGCTAGTTTAATTTTTAAAATTGAAACTTTTTGAATTTTTTAAAATCGAAATTTTAAGATTTAATGCTGATTTTGAAATTTAAGATTTAAAAATTTAAAAGATTTAAAAATTTAAAAGATTTAAATTAAAATTTTGATGGTTTTAACTTTTGATGCTGAGTTGGCTAGTATTCAACAAAGATTGATAACTTTACATACAAAATTCCAGAGTTTTATTCAAAATTTCAGGTAAAATTTGCGTAAACTTTTGGAATTTAAAAATAAAATTTGCAAAACTTAAGTTTGTCTACAAAAATCTTACTCAAACTACAAAATAAGTTTCGAAAAGGTTTTAACATTTGTTTATTTACTAAAAACCTTAAAGAACCTAGAATTAGTAACGATTTAGTGCAACCTACATTAATCCTACACTTTCACATCCAATTCCCCCAAAAACTTCCTCAAGGACTTCAAAGAGCACAAGAGCAACTCAAAAGACACATTTTTTGTGAAAGATAAAATTTTATTATTTTCTCATTTTCACGTTTTGCTTATTTTTGCTGTTTTTATAATTTTAAATACGAGTTTAAATACTCTTGAGAATAATTTGTAGTTGATAATGTTTTATAATAACAAGTCTGAATACACACACAATAGACAAGAGGACACACAGGGTAGGGAGCAACTTAAGGTTGAATAGATACAAAAAAAAACATGAAAATGATAATACCAAAAATGACATTAAATTTTCCCATTTCATTATACATGGGTCAGGAATCCAATACAAGTGCTTTATTACTAGTCAAAGCGGGAGTTTGGAGATATAAAATAATATTAACATGTTTAAGATGAACCTCACTCCACTAAACCAAATTTGGCATTCTCTTCCAAAATAAAAATCAATATCTTCCAGACGTACCTTTCCATACATTTTAATTTCATCGACATTAAGTGACAAAAGAAGAAAAGCTCAATTTATTACCATAGCCAAAGCCACTACCACAACAGCAGCAGTAGCAAAAAAAAATGAGGTTATCATCCAAGGTAAACATCACATGAGTCAATAAGAATGAAATAACCGAGAGAATTCATGACTGAATGAGACAGTCGTAAAGCTTATCAATATATCTTCATTTTCAAGATGCTACCAGCTGCCGTTGTTATGTTTTCGTCTCTTCCAATTTTCGGCTTTTTATTTCTTTCCTTGATCACGTCAATCTTAATGTCAATTAAGTTATTACTAATACATTCCATTTCCATTTATATCTCATGCTATGAAGAAAAAACAAATAAAATTCTGACACACACACATGTGTGTGTGTGTGTGTGTGTGGCTTGCGTGTACTTACCTAAATTTTCTACTTCGCAAGGCAACGTTAAAGTTTCTCCTACAACTGCTCTATATGTGTGTCCTTGTGTGTTAAATCTGGCTTGTGATGTTGATGATGTCGTTGCTAGTGATTTATTACCTACGAAAAAATAAAAGACATAAATGAAAAGTTAGTAGGAATAAATAGAACTGAATAAGAGAGGAACGGAAAAAATAAAACAGGAAATTTAAATCTCATTTTCATCGATAAATTGTCCACAAAATAGATGAGCAAATATTTATGTATTATCGATGTGAATTTGTGAGTTTAAGGGGAAATGAAGAAAAAATAAGGATTTCGGCTTTCCTTTATCGTTTTGATGAATTTTTCGATTCAGATTTCTTGGGCGGTGGTTGGCTTTGCTATTATTTTGTCAGAGTTGTGTATTGTTTATTTTCTAGGAGCATCTAACATAGTAGCTAGCTGCTGAGTAAAAAAAATATAGTAGCTAGTAACTTGAACGTAAAAAACTAGTAACAAGAACTTAATAACTAGTAATTAGATGATTATGTATTTTCATGAAAATCAGATTGGAACCCTACCTAAGCATGAATATAAAAAATGAAGAAATTTTCCTGAGCGGCTTTAATAGCATCAGGGACGCATTAAGGCTATGTAGTGAATGCTGTTGACCCACTAATTTTTTTTAAACTTCCAGTCGTAAGTATTGAAGATTTGCAACCTTAATTGCTCCCAAAACATAACAAAACCACAGTCATATCCGAAAATGCGCTCTATTGACCCACAATTGATTCAACAAATCAACCACACATCTTCCTACCATTATAAATATGTATTTTTTCTTCAAAAATGATAATAATAATGGAACCACAACAGAAGGAGATGCATAAAGGGAGATAAATTTATATAATATTATGTGATACACATAAATGATAAGGGAATTGACCATTGAGACCGATGTCGAATGTTAAATAAGGGAGAGAAGGCAGGCACAAAAGAAGATTTATTTTCATAGTTCGGTATTTGAGAATTTGAATGGAAAAAGTTTTTTTTTTCTCGAACTTGTTATCAAGTTGTCTCATTTTCAAATGAAAACTTAGCAACAATGTTGAAGGGCCGGAACTTTTTGGGGCTTTATTCCAGATGAGAGTCGAAAAAATATTCTTATTGAACTTTATTTTCCGGTGATAATTTCTAAAGACATTTTACATCTTCATAAATTTACGGTTTAATTTTGAAAAAAAGTTCAACGAATTGTGGATTCTTTTCTGAGAAATAAAAGTTATGAGACGAGAGACTTTTTCGATAGGAAATAAGCAATTCTTTGAGAAAATTTTAATCTGGAAAATTAATTAAAATGTTTTTGAAGAAAGTTTAATTTAATTTGATTTAATTATTGAGTTAAAAAGTTATTCAATGACTTTGTTTCTGCTCGATATGGTTGTGAAGTTACAAGTGCTTGATTTCTATGCCTTTGAGATATTTTTTTGAGATGGTTTTGAGTGTTTTATTGTTTAACTTGATTCTATGGCTTATATTGAATAATAAATGGAATTTTTCATCGTCATAAGCAATGGTTGAATTACTAATAGAGGTTCAGAGGTATCTTAGCGGCAGAGGTTATTGACCTCCTCCTTAACATAGGCTAGTTTGTTCTGGGAAATATTTAAGTTTAAATCTAGTGCTTTTTGAGAATTCTAGCTTATATCAAGAGCTGCAGAAGAAGGAGAGTCTTTATAAGCTTTTATTCTAGTTGCACCTTTCACAAAAACTCAAGATTGTCTGAAATAATAAAATTCTCCTGCATTAACAATTCCATATCCAATTCTACAAACTTTACGACACGTAAATAGGTTTATGACTCAATCATGTAATTTAAAATTTTTTACCCTACAAACTTTAATGTTCCTGATGTGAATCTCTCTAAAATTACCATAAAAACACACAGATCTACTCCAAAACAACCTCTTTAATATATTTTTATAAACTCCCTCACAAAGCAATTCCCATCAAAAATTATAACAAAATAAAGTTATTTCATCAAAAAATATGTACAAAAAAATTACTTTATGTGATAGAAGTAAAACTCCGAATTTATATCAGAACAATAAATTCAACTCAACATTAATGATCATAAAGTCTTTAAATCAAATTTTTCCATTCAAATAGAATCATCATAATAATTTTGTATTTTTTTCCACTTCGTCTTGAGGGAGAAACAAAGTAATTTTTATGATTCCCCCTTTTTTGTTCCTACACATGTTGTTATTGCATCGTGGAGGAGGAGAAAAGAGGAAGTAAATTTTTATTTTTATGTGACGAGCATTAAAATTTATACTTTTTTTTCTATACAATAATAAAGTGTCGCATAAAAATTCCTTCTGATGATAACTCATAAAAATCGCATGAATTGTTCTATCGAAAATCAAAAGATGTGTTGTCAATCCACGCTTCATGCTACACTTTTTTGTGTGAATGTCATAAAATGGAAATAAAGGAGACAATCTAGGTTGATGGAATATTATAGAGAAAATTTGAAATTGATTTGGTTTGAGGGGGGGGGGGGGGGTGGTGCCTAATTTGAAGGCAAATCTTACAGTTATGTCTGTTGGACTCTGTTGTTGGATTGTTAAGAAAATAACCTAAAAATTTAAAATCTTTTGTTCTGCTTCGGAATAAGCTTAATTCCAAAAAACGTTCAAACTCAGTGCTGTCAATATTGCAAGGATTAAGATGCTCATGACATAATGTAAAAGTTGAGCTGCAAAACTTTGTAAATAATCTGAACAAAGAGTCCAACTCTGTCCTATCTTACATTATCATTGATTATTTCTTAAAATAGGACTAGCAATATTCACCTTAACAGTCAATTCATAGAAAAACAGAATAGTACTTCAAGTTATTAATAAGAAATCCATCATATCAGCATTTCCATATCTAGCAAATGATCATGAAAAAAGATCCGTAAATTCTTCAAAAAAAATCCATAAGATATTCAACAGCATTCTATCTATGAAAATTCCAAAACAAGTTATTTTTATCCTCGAGAAAATCTACATCTCAACAAATTGAGGAAATGGCGTTATTTTTGATGAAAATTCCTCATAAAATTGCGAAACAATGAACCTCTCTCGCATTGAGTGTATTGCTGTATATTTTTTCACATATGCGAGCGTGTGACAAGCAGCTTATCATCAGTCATCCACTGGCAGAGATGAAATTTCCTCGCTCGCTCACTTCGAAAAAGTTTTTTTTTTGTCGTAAAAATAGAAACAAGAAAATTTCTTCCTGTTTTCCTACTTTTATTTTCAGATTAAATTGTTTGTTTCGTGCACAAGAGGAATTTTTCGTTATTTTTTTAATATTTATTTACCCCCACATGAGTCGAAAAAATATAATAATAATATTTTCATATTTTTTGGGGGAGTATAAAAAATATGTAGGGTAGTAGGAGGCAGCGACAGAATGAATTTTATACGCACGTTTATAGAGTGAAAGTGCATGAAAAATATTTATATAGCTATTATGTTGAAACCCATCATTATGTTGACAGTTTTTCCTCCAGTTAAATTCTCGAAAAAATACGACAACATGCCACGGAGAAGCAAGCAGGAAAAAAATGAAAGATTGTTAAATGCAAACATACAGATCGGTTCTCTCGTCCCCTTCACGGTGAATATAATATGAGTGTAGATGATTGGTGTGAGCAGGGGTTGGATATGTACATTGACAAATGAAGCTATTTTACATCCAAAAATTTAATTGAGTTGAAGAATTTTCACTTTGAATTCTTTTAAATCTTCTGCGTCAAAAAATACAAATTGAATTTTTTTTGCAATTTTCTATTCAAAATTTCAATGAATGCAAATTATTTTACAAAAGTTCAAATACTCAACTCCTGCACCCTCCCCCATAGATTCATGTTTTTCTCTTCCTCAAGTGGATTTGAAATTAAATTGAAATTTTCACCTCGGGACATGAATTCATACCGATATTGCTTATTATGCAATACAATTTCCTGAACAAGAATCAATGTTGGGACTAAAAACAAACAAATAACAACAACGTTAACGAGAAATCCATTACGAGTTGATGAAGAGTGCCTTTGGGGGGTTCAAAATTTCCTAGCAAAAATATGTAAAAAAAAAAGGTCATAGACCGCTTTAATATTCTATTATTAATGTTCTTTACATTTTTTCTGTTCCTGTAATCTCAATTACGTCAAAATCGATGGCATGAATTTTAGGATAACCTCGAGAGAATCAGAAAAAGTTCAACAATGGGTAGCACAAAAAAGAAGAAACTTTAATTTACTTATTGTGATTTTTCACTGCCGCGTTGACGTAAAAATACACAAAAATGAATGAATGTGAAAATCAATACGTAACAAACAGCTGAAAGAGAGGAGGTTGGGGTTGTGGGAATTATTATTTGATTTGGCAGCTTTTGGAATTGGAATATGGATTTTTGTGGCGATTTATAGGCTATTTATGGCATTCAAATAAGAAGAAATGTGTGTTCAGTTTGGGTTTTTTATCAGAAATGACGTCCAAACTTTTAATGGGGATTATAGCTTCATAAGATCTACCAATTTAATATGTGTGGGTTTGCTCGACCTTCAAATTAAGAAGAAATTCATATTAATCCTTATAATCATCCAAACATCATCAAATCTTGCCCACAAGCTTCATCTTCTTCTTTAAATGCACAAATAACTGACACAATAACCTTTAACATTCCAATCCAAATTGCGTGCCCACGTTCGACGAAAATTACTTTTCAATCAAGTCTTTTCAACCAAACCGTCAATTTCGCTTGCCGTCAATCTAACAATCTTCTTCATACTTAATGATTTCATTCATTTTCCATTCATTCGAGTAGTAAACCGTAAATTCGTTGTGCTATTACTTTTAATAAATAAATAATTAAGGATTGTTTTTTTAATTGCTGTTCATTTAGTTGGCAAAAGAACCAAATAAACAAGTAAAAGTCATTCATTGCCCACTCGGAACTTTATTTGTTCTGTTCTGTTTTTTACAACAATTATGATGATTACGTCTATTTGAATGGGTAACATTAATGAATTATTTATGTGGGAATGAGCAATGTTGCTTGTATTTTATTTTTAGTCTAAAAGG